GTCGATGAGGAGAATGCAACAAATGAAAGAAAATGGAAACAGATGAAGACTTTAAAAATATAATGAGATGAATATTGAGCATATCAACTCCAGCATAAAGAGAGTGTATATTGAAACTGTTTATTGACAGATAATAATGCTCACAGTGGTGCAATTAAGATTAATGTTACCGCAGATGGGCTCAAGATAGTGTTTTGAAACTGTCAGGTGAGTTTACTCAAACCCACATTGAATCGTATTCATTCATTTATTCATTCAGATTCTTTACTTTTGGGTGGAGTATAGGGAGCAGGGAAGAGCAAATGCTAATATTGTTTATAAGAATGTATTCACACATTTTTACAGCAGCGGTGATTTTATGTCCCTACAAATTGTTAAAGAAAAAAAGAAGTTTCTTTGGTAAACTTACTTCACCGAGAGGACAGAGAGACAAAGTCACCGATCTGTCCTTCTGTATGTCTCTGTGCTTCGTGAGCATACACCATTTACATAAGTATATTTAATTTGGTTTATGTCAGCACTAAGAAAATTGATTATTTGCATTATCTCTAAAACTAATACTCAAGTATGTCAATATGAATGTTTAAAATCACCAAACAAACATTTACTTAAAGGGTTATAAAGGACTGTGAACAATTAAGTCTCCGAGCAGTGGATGAATATGTGGTTGCTCACCTAATGTATCTTTAAAAAGCTACACCTGCTATATCTATGACATCACATTTCTATTTTTATCATATTTAAATGCAGGTTTACAATTAGACAATAGCTAGCTAATCTGTTATGTTGTCATTTTCAAAAGTAATCCTGAAACTTTGATGCTCTTAAAGGTGCCAGATTTCGATTGCCTCTCAACATGTCGACAGCGAGCCGCCGGCTCGTAGCTAGCGGTGTTAACGGTGCAAGCAATGGCGAAAGTGCTGACACAGCTAACAGTGTTTACCTGGGGGGGGGGCACAGGAGGGAGGGTGCTACGCTTCTGTGACAGCACTGGCAGTCGGGACAGCGTAACCGCCATATGAGAGCAGTGCAGAGCTGAGCCTGGAACTGAACATGGTGGTCGTTGCTTGAGTGACGGATAACGTCAGCAGGCGATGACTAAAAGTAACCAAAAGTGTTGCTCGTCTGCTTGCATGAGTCTTGATGTATGCTGCCGTTAAACCGTACTTTATTAAGTCTTTCTCTTTTTCCTGTGTCTCTTCCTGCTCCGTTGTAAATATATTCTTGTTTTGGTAGGATAGAGCGAGTTAAAGCGGTCTAACTATCTGACCAGAGTCTGGCCATTTACGGCCTATCTGACCGTTGTTTGGCCTCCCTAACAGGCATTTATTAATTTGCTTACCCACCATACTTTGTCTGGTCCGCCTCTGGTCCAATAATGATAATAGTCCCTTTGGCCAGACCATGACTACAAATAGATGACGTTTCCTGCATGCACTGCCTCATTATACACTGTGCCGCATTGTTTTTAACCAAGCCGAGTGAGGGGTTATTTATTTTTCTAATGGGACGTGTTTATTTTTGACTAATGGGACAGACGCTGTGCACTTAGGCTCAGCTAAGCGTGTCTCGGTGTGTCTGTCGTCGCTGTGGTGAGGTAAGGGAACAAGCTGGAGGCCTACCGCAGGCACACAGGACTTCCTGGCACATTTAGGGCAGGAGTTAGCCCGAGTCGAGCGGGTGTGGGTGTCAGTGCTGGCAATAATAATCCCAAAATAGTAGGTTCATTTATGACAGCTACTTGAAAAGGAGGATGTTTATAAAAAAGAAAAAGCCCTTCCTTTACACCTCGAGGGAGAGAAAAATACATTTCCTACTGTATGTTGTTGGTCACACGTATGTGTGGCAGGGATTGGCTCTGTGTGTGGAGGAAAGGAAAGAAGGCAGGATTTTAACTTCTCTATGATGGCCGGCTTGTCACCCCGCTTTTGAATGTGGCCGTTCGGAACGACTGTGAAACGTGGTTTGATGACATGTTATTTGATGTCCAAGCGTAGTCCCGCCTTTAAGACGGCTGTGGCTCGGTTAGTAAAACAGATGATCCATTACTCGTAGGTTTAGTGGTGCGGTTCTCCTTGTCCTGAATGTCAAAGTGACCACGAGCGAGACACTGAATTGAGAGTGCTTGTAAAGTCCTTGGCACATCTGCTATATGACTAACCATTAGTCTCTACATTTGTACTTTCTAAAACTCCTCTCTGATGGCTATGTCTGAGCCATTCTTCCTGACCTTTCCTCTTTGTCGCACTCTCCCTCTGTTTGTCTCTGAAGAAAACAAAAACAAAAACACTAAATCTATCTGTCTGTCTTGTCTTTTGCCCCCCTCTGCCTGTTTCCCCTCTCCTCACAGTGTGATAATCTAAAGCCCCTGTGCTGCTCATTTCCAAAACACACTCCCAACTTCCTCCCTCTAAATGCGCGCACACACACACACACACACACACACACACACACACACACACACACACACACAGAGTCCTTCCCTCCGAGTCTCATGTTTGTTTGTGTGAGTCGGAAAAGGCGCAGTTCTAATTGAGGGGCGAAGCCTCTTCAGATGCAGCGGGTGCCTCTTTCCCAGTGGGGGGAACACAGTTCTGCCTCTGGGGAGCACAATTAACGCCTTTTTATTGTTTACTAATGAATTACACACAGAGGAAGCGGGCATGCGTGTGTGAATTAGAGAGAAAAATAGAGAGTTTGTCGGGAAGCGAAAACATGCGATGTCGTGCGCGTGTGCTTGTGTGTGGGTTCTGTATCATTATGTTTGCTTAGTTGTGAGTTGACTTCTAAGTATCTTTTACATCCCTTGATAATTTGATATTAATTGGCCTGTTTCCACCTTCATTTGGTTTCTTTAGGCAGGAAAGCACACGCTTGTCCTGATTCTTCCTTTTTCTCTTTTCTGCTTTCATTGAAAAATAATAATTCAATGCAGAATCACACATGGAAGAACACTGCTGCGATGCTCAATACTAAAACTTTTAAGAATGTTACACACCGCTGGCCGCACGCCAATCATTGATGTTAGAGCAGGTGTTTTTCCATGAGCGCTTTGACATCACCGACTTTTGTCGGCAGGACAAGAAGTTGCTTGAAAAGTTTTAACGGCGGCAGACAACGCAGCGGTAGTTTTCTATTCTGTGTGATTCAGTGTTGTATTACCCGCAGCTAGCAGGACTGTGTGTGTGTGTGTGTGTGTGTGTGTGTGTGTGTGTGTGTGTGTGCATTGAGGATGCATGGACTAACACATGCCTTAAGGCCTATGTAAACAAATGCTAATGTAATTACTGACGGGGGCGTTTTGAAAATCTGTAACTAAGATGATTGCACAGCACACACTGATCAGGTTAGTTACGACGTGATGTGCTGTTGCTTTAAAAGACCGGTTGCACCAAGACTGATTCCTGTGTCATTCTCAGTGTTTAGCAGACTAAGCCCTTTACCATTTAATTGGGTTATTTTATAGCTTGTAAACCTCGCTTTTGCTGTAAAGAAGATGCTTGAAAGCAACAAAAAAAAGACAGATTTTAGCCCATATCACTTTTTCATGAGGGGTAATAGAAAGTGTGTGTGTGTGTGTGTGTGTGTGTGTGTGTGTGTGTGTGTGTGTGTGTACGTCTGTGTGTGGGTGAAGGCCTCAAGTGTTCCTCCTCTTCTCAGCATAATAGTGATTAGTAATTTCAGCTGTCGAGCAGTGCCAGTCAGCGTGAGCGTGATCCACTATATCACCTGCTACAGGGGATACACACACGCACGCACACACACACTCACACACACATCGATGTTGCGTTAAGTGTGCGTCAGTCTGTCTGCAGTGCCTTGATGTGCGTTCTCCGTCTAGAATACAGCACCCTGACATCGCTACATTAAAGGGGGTCATTATATTTCCCTGGCTGCCACCGAAAGGTGACGTTTTTACAAAGTGACAAGTTTACAGTTTGATAAATCAGATTTTTTTTTTGCTGTGGGTGGGGTGGGTACCCAGGAGAAGGGATGGTGGGAGGAAGAGGCAAGTTGTCTGTGGAGGAGGAGGAGGAGGAGGAGGGAGGGAGGGAGGGCGGGCGCGCTGCCTGTCAGCGACGCCCCGGCCCTGTCGTCTAAATGATGCTCCCAGGCAGCAGATTCAGATCCCATCCCCATTAGCATTTAATTTCTCTCTAATCCTACACACCGTCTCCACCGCTGCATGGTAACGAGGGCCGCCGTGCCACGGCAGCGCCAGAGAAAAGAAAAAAAAAAAACCCTCCGAGAGCAATCTGCAGCCTGCTCGCCTTTTACAGCCCTGTCGTAGCCATCATTCTTCCGTGACAATTAAGACCCTCAAATCTAATAGCAGTGATATTGGAATTACAGCAAGACCCTTTTGAGGGCATGTCAGGAAAATGGGCTGCGCCTCCCAATACAGCTGTCAAAGCACAAGGCCCTCCCCCCATTCATGCCCGCTAAGCGTTTCAGATGCACACACACACACACACACACACACATGGGATGGGGAATATGTTGAGTCTTTGGCTGTGATCTTTGTAAAATGTGCTCTCTGTGCCCTCTTATCCAAGTCTCCAAAGACTTGTTACAGCAGCTTTTGTTTTCTCTCTTCTCCTCTCACTCTCTCTCTTTGTCTCTAAATTTCTCTTCATCTCTTCCTCATTGATTCTCCCTGGTGTGTCAGAGATGTTGTTGCTTTCTGTTTTTCCACCAGCAGGTTTTTTTTTTATATACAGATGATTAGGCTCGTAGATTGGTGAAGTTGTCCCTTGGTGCTCTGTGAGGACAGTTTAAGGGGGGAACATTCACTCTAATGGTTGCAGTTAAAGATTATCATGGGTAAAATATATCGATGCCTAAGGGACACAACAGTTTTGCAGATTACATAGATAACGTTGTGTCAGTGGGGGGGCTGTCGGTCCTGTTATGAACTGCGCTTTGTGATAACTGAGGCAGCAGGATGGGATACTAACCTAACTTTCTCTTCTTGTTGTCTGTCCGTCACTCTCCTGCAGACTCCAGCAGAGCAGGCGAAAGTCCGAATGCACATGGTCCTGGAGGCCGCAGGTAAGATGGGATGATTGCTCTGTTTCTCTTCCCATTTAAAAAAATAAATAAATAAATAAAAATGTTCTGTTCCAATGTGGTTCAGAGCTGTTGCTGTGACACTTGTCAGTTATGGTCACTCACTCATTCGGGGATGCTAGCTTGAAGGCAGAAAGTGAGAATACTGTGTAGCATTCATAAACACCCCCCCCCCCGTGACATCACATCACCTAAGGGTTGTGCAGTCACAAGTATTTACGACGTGTTTATGGTGATATATTTGGAGATATTGTGAGTATTCACTCTGTTTCTTTCTTTACTTTTATGCATATAGATGACGGGAAACTTGTCGAGCCGTGTACTGTTTAGACATTTGGTGAAAGGGGCAGAGTGTGTTGATCCATCGATCTATCGATCTTATGATCAACGATCAAATATAATGGATGCAAAGAAAACATCCATTGGTATAATCGTCTTCGAGATATCTTTATGTTTAAATTCCCATGGCACGTCTGTGTCACCATGTCCATCCAAAGGCACCTTCCTGCAGAGAACAGAGAGTTGATATAAGTCTAACTGACTGTTAAATGGGCATCTGATATTGTCTCATAATAAATGCTGGCCCCTGAGTCGAATCAAATTAAAATAGTATTGTGGGAGACTTTGTGATGTCAGCTCATATTGTATCGTCTTAAGAAATTGATAAAATATCTAATCATCACCCAACTCCTTTATGCTGCACAATGTGCCCAATGTAAAGCCACTTTGTAGATATAAAGATATATTGATATTGTATACCCGGGAATAATATGGAGACTTTATTTTTTTAGCCGTATTTTGCAACTATCCGAGCTTGTACGCACACTTCACTGTAGACCTGGACAGGTTTCCTACTTGTTTTCCCACACACAGAGTCACAGCACCCCTCCCAACACATGCACACACACGACCACAATCTCTCACACACAGACAGACAAATGCATACACACACTCTCCTGCTCTCCGCTCTGAGTGCTTCTGGGCCCATATTCACTGCAGCTTAATTTCAAACACTCCTCCCAGTACATAAGTCATAGTTGTCACCATGCACGCGGTGTATATATTCCAGTGTGTATTCGAGGGGTAGAGTTGCGAGCCAGATGTGACAGGCAGAGATTGACTGTGGAGAAAGATGTCTTCATGTTTACAGTCATGCGCGCACACACACACGGTCCCAGCACTTCAGAACAGAGCTCTAATTTCACCACAGGAAATATATGAAAGAAGCCGGCATCTATACATCATCTATAAAGCACCCAGCAGCCACACACTAACTTCACTTAAGACCTGCCTTATTGTACGCCACAGATCAACGCCGCAATTCCTTTTCTGTGATTTCCCTGATTTTTAACTTTCTGAAGCATACTTTACATACTTCATCATACTTTGAAACATAGTTTACACGTGGGAATTTCGGATATTTGGAGGACAATTGGACTTCTGTGTTCGGTTGCTTAAATATTTTCTCAGTTGTACATCGGACACAGCCCCGCACTCCCTGCCACCTTGAGGCTAATGTTGCGCTAATGGTGGGGAAGCATCATAAAATTGAGCATGTGGCTTTGAGTGCAGTGGGCCAGACTGGTGCAGACACAGGCCCAGGGCCAAACGTGGGACTAGTGGAGAGGCTTCAATGCACTGGACATGTCTCTGGTTTTCTTCTCTTTCCTAGAGGCTTCCAGTAGAACAGGTTTATGGCTCAGTCAAAGATGGTCTGAACCAGAGAGCCCATTCTGGCCTGTATCAGGCCTTCAGGTGCCTGTGATAATATCGCTCATAACGATCTACAGTAATATATATTGGACTACAGAGTTTTACTTGATAAAGCAATTTATTTGTGGTACTAGGACTGATTCATGATTTTATTTCTGCTGCCTTTCCTCTGTCTTGTGGTGGACCATTGAGTGCCCTCGCTAATTGAAATCATGTTTTTGTAATTTGATATATTTAATGATATCTTTTTCTTCTGAAGTCCTCTGACCCTGCGGCTGCTAAGTCCTCAATTCATCCCTGTCGCATCTCTTCTTCTCTCCATTTGCTTTTCTCTCGTCCCTCTCTGTCTATCTTTTCCTCTCACTCTCCGTCCCACTGTCTTTGTTCCAGCGTTTCTAGCGGACAGAGGGAGATAGGGATAGAAAGAGGGAGGGACGGAGGGCGAGAAGGAAGCAGCAGATGTTGGGAGGTTGTGTGAATGTTAATGTCCTGACGTAGCCGTGGAGCTTAAGCCTCCTCCTCCTCCTCCTTCTTCCCTCCGTTCCTCTCTGAGCGCCCGCCAGGCTTTCTCTCTCGGGGTCTCCTGACATCCTTAAAGCCCGTGGCTCTCCTCTCCTCTTCTCTCCTCCACCTCTTTCTCTCCCATCCCCTCCCTCCCACCTTTTGTCCGTCTATGGACTCTCTCTAGTCAGTAGAGAGCAGATCATCCCATGGCTAAAGCGGCTCAGGCCTTTGTGTTGGGGGGCTCTGTGGACCTGTAATGAGCCCCGTCGGCTGGCCCGCTGGCCTGCTTAGCGCTCACTGGGGGCTTTGAGAGTGCGCGTGTGTGTGTGTGTGTGTGTGTGTGTGTGTGTGTGTGTGTGTGTGTG